CTTTCTCTGCTCCAGATACTCATCAATAATGACCTTGAGATAGGCTACTTGAGATGAATCAACACTAGGTGATACTATTATCTCCACAATCTCCTTCAATTTCATAAGTAACCCCAAGTGGGATTCCCAGTGTCAAGAATGTAGTCATTCATCACAATTAGAAAAAATCGTAGAAACCACCAATTTTGGACAGCATGCCCTCCAACCCTTTCTCCTTTCCTAACAACAAACAACATATTCTTTGAATCACAAGCACTGAATGGAATCCTTGCCAGCTGTGTATTTAAGCATTCGTATGTGAACCAGTTCTTGTCAACAACAAAATGCTGGATATACAGTGCCAAGTCATAGTCTACTACTCCTTCAAAAAGATCATGACCAAGGCATGGAGGTAACCCAGGGTTAATTACATGAAAGAAAGACAGAGAGTTGAAAACTGAATTAAATTTGATGCCTTGCACATGATCAGCATCACCTTCATTCGAAACTTGAATGGAATTATTGTACATCTCTTTAGTTCAGTACAATCCCTCAATGTAAGGTGGGTTATCTGCAATCACTCTTACTTCGGAGACAGTAACGGCAGTAGTAACTTGCACAGAAGCTTTCAGTAAAACCTCCAATATAATGGGATCCTAAATTGTCACCTATTATAGCCAATAAAGTGCCCTTGACAACTTTCCCACCATGTACAGAAATTCCCTCGCATTCTAATTGCTGTATATCTTTAACAAGTCTCGACAATACTGCTTCTGGCCCATATTCCTTGATTGACTTTTCTTTGCACACCATAACCAATTGCATAGTGTCAATCTGTGACCTACATCTAGGATCTATGTTACCGAGCGTGTAATAAATGCCAAGTACCTTGTGTTTACATCTTGCTGATCCAAGTGGGTTCACTATCTCGAAACTGTCCTGAAACAGCAGTATTTGCAAAGCATCAGGATTGCTCTGGAAAAATGCATTCTGTTTGAACACTTTCCCATCATGAATATTATTCAGGCAGTTTCCTTGGTTACTTTCTCTATTTGGCACCCAATGTCTGTGCACTGATGTGTCTTCACACAAAACCCTCAGAGTTTCCAAAATTGGAACATAGTGGCAGATATGTGTTTTGCCCGAGGAATCTATCCCGAGGTTGATTTCTACTGGACTCACAAATTTGAATGTATTTTTGTAGTAATTCTTCCTGAGTAACTCGAGCGAAGTGTACCACATTGCTGGGACTGAAAGTGGTGTGAATCTTCTGATGGTGCTAAGCTACATCCCAATTCAGCTATGCCATCCAAAATATCATTTGCCACTTTGCATACGACATCACCAGAAACCCCAGCTTTCATGAGTTTACACTTGACATTTTTCTTGGCACTGTCACGAGTAAGTTGTTGCAAAATGTTCATTTCATCTACTATTGTTTGAATAGTTGTTTCAGGAACAAGTGACTTTGAGTGCAACTTCAACAAAAACAATGCTATTGCCTTAGTGTATTCGGCCACACTATCACCTTTTTCATCTGCACATTCATCATCCTCATCAGAACTGTCTTCACAAGCATCAATGCATGGTTCTGTGTTACTTTGTGGATTACTAAAATGACTGTCAATGTCCACATTTGAGCAAAGTAGTGCTGGTNCTTAGTGAATGCACTGTATAATGTCTGTGATATCTAGATATGTGTGAAGACAAGGAAGACTTTACATTTAATTGCTTTGTAAAATTTCCAAATGGGCATGCTACAGTCAATCCTTCCTTGATGTGATTCTTCAAGTGTGCCAAAAATTCTTGAATATCAGAACACTGCTGTTGACAAAACTGCATCATGCATTTTACACTAACACCTGCACTCTGATATCTGGCACTAATTCCATCATTGCCATGAGCTATGCCTGTTCCATGATGTCTTGATACATGTGACACCAACCCTTTGTAAGTAAAACATGTTTTCATACATCCTGGGACACAGCAGGGAAAGTGCACATTTCTCTCATGCCTGTGAATTTGATAATGTCTTGTGTATGCCTTTAAATTTTTACACTGAAGGCGTACATTACAAATGTGGCAAACGGGGTGGTTGGACATGTCATTTTCCATCATCTTTTCTCAGAATGAAACTAGCCTTGGCCCAACACCTGATTGTCAGGTTGTACACTTAAAAACACGGAATCCACATAGAAACACAGATATATGACTTCAATCCGATTGCCTCCCTGCAGCTCTGGTTCAATCTTAACACAAATGACGTTAGGATAGGGTTCTAGTACGGTGTGTTAACAGTCATGATAGGCCTAGTTAACGTTACATGAGTCATGTGGACATGTCATGTTATGACATGTTTGTCGCGAAACAGTGGTAAGCAACTGGATCATTTTCTCACATGAGATAAAAACGAAACTGCATTTCGCTCTAATGATAACACAGATCAATAAATGGTGATGTAAATACTTACTTAGGCTAGTAACTAGACAAGAACCTAAAAAAAGTACATGTAACGTACATGGGTTCCTTCAGCAGTAAGAATGCTTTTTCCAAATTCAATTTTAACATCCCCGTGAGACAATAGAGAAAAGTATATTACGACCCAGTCGTTAACTTTGGGGTTTTATTTTTGGCAAAGGAAACAAATAGTATTTGAAGGTCCGAGTATACTTCGATTAAAATTAAAGATTCTAAACTACAAATTCAAACGAAGTTTAGAACCCAGGTTTCAACAAGCCTTCATTGAATAGCGACCGGAAGTGGGCATCGGCAGTACCACAATGTTTCAAATGCCTGCTCTTCCCTTCCTGGTATGGGACACAAAGAAATTATTACTGCAGTGGAACAATATTTCGTTTTGATGTGATTCACGAGTTCCTTTAAAATATTTTACAGATTTAAGACGGTAAACTTCATCCGTAATGCACTTATAATTGAGATTATCGAAATACCGCAAAGATCACTATATACCGTCAAAGAAAAAAATACAATGTAACTGTCAGTCACTTGGAAGAAATGGTTCCCAGACACTTATCTGAATCGTGGTACCCATTTATTTCACGCGGAAATTGTTGGAAGACATTCACATGTCTATTCAGTACTTATGAAATGTCGAAAGGAGAAATAAAATCAATCATACAACACAAATCAAGAACAACGGCAAAATCTCTCCACAAATTACGAAAAAGGTCTTGCGCAATAGTTTCATGCACTGATACATCCTTAGATTTATGCGTTTCAATGAGAGAAAAACACTTCAGCAGGACAGCTATCCATTTTCAGTGAATAAGATTTGTAGTTTCTGCTGTCCTAATGTTAATCTTAATGCTGCAGTTAGCCTAATGTAATTCCATGCTTTGTCGTCATGCAAGTGCATGTACTCCTAACAATGACCACAATAGGGATAATGGTCTCCAAGCTAAGCCGACCTCTGAAAGCCACTATTGTGGACCAGGATTCAGCGACAATTCGTGCAACCTCCGTACAACATGCGCGTAAGCAATGAACACGCGAACCGGTGCGCACACGTGGTGTATATGCACATTGTATTTGTTATTCATGTGCTCAGTCTATAATGGGCAATAATTCTTTAAGGTTACTTAGCTCGCATTTATCACTTTTGGTTTACATTGAAAGCACACCTACGTAAACTTACACAGAATGTACAAATTACACAAGTGAACTCGATTCAATTTTTCATAAAAATACAATACATGACCGAGGCATCAGTGCTGTTTTCATATAAAAATCAATGGTGCTGAACTGCAATTCTCAAAAGAAAGTATTCCTTATTTCGTCATTACAATCATCATTACTTCACAAATTATCAGTTGTTTAAACTGATTATACATAACAATTTGCTCTGCAATAAAATACTTGATTTTAAATTAGTGTTAAGGCAAACTTGACCAAGTGCAATTGTGTAAAACAAAATATTACCAAGTTTGTAATGGTTGAAGATTATCTAAAATCTCCGTCTATATCAAAAAGAATATACAACATAAATGTCAAAAAGAAAACATGTACTTATTGCAAATATTTTAAATCTGCTGAAATCTTTACATCCACATTCAATATTTGTCAAGAGTAATACACTTAAATTCATCACAAAGAGTAATCTTTGTCCTAAAACACTGGTTTCCATAAATTGCATCACAGGCCAAAGTTCGCATTGTTTTTAATCATTCTATATCTTGTCAACTGTAACAACAGGGAAAATTAACCATTCATGCAGACTCAAAAAAAATTACAGTGAAACATCCTAAAATAACACACTGGCTGGATTCATTCAGTGTGTGTATGTGTAAGTGTACTTCTGTTCAGTGGAAGTATCTGCACAGTACACGAAGATTGACTGAAAAGAAATTTCTGACAATGACCTTCAGACTGTATGGATCAATGTGCGAAGTATTCAAGCTAAAGTCACATATATATCAGACAATATGCGCTACTAGAAATGAATAGGTTGGAAAAAAATGAAAGTAATACAATCAGCCAAGTGTCAGTGTTTATTGAAATGGTTAGGAACAGTCTGTAGCCATTAGCTAGTTAATTATGCAATACTAATCTTTTCAATTACGTCCATCATTATTTCTTGATATAGCATTTTCCATCCTAATCAGTACATGTCGCCATGCAATGACTGTTGGGTCAAGATTCTGGCAATGTATAGCCTAGTCGTATGACTTGTGTTGTTATCACCAATTAACAAATAAATGGTCAACTCTATATCTTAGGTTGACAAGGACATCTTCAGCTTGAAATTCTGAATTACAGCATTCTCTCACCATTATTAAGAGCTTGAGAAGTATCTTCGTATGTTTACTCAAGTTGGACTTATTACCACTCCTAAAACATTCCACATATATCCACAAACAAACAATTACTAAAAAGAATTAATCTCAGCTTTGATCATATTTTTAGGCATAATAATATCCTTGGCTATCAGCACTGGGCAGTAATGGAGTGCGATCAGCTTGATTCTGTCTTGGCACTTGGACTTCCGGTGCATTGACTTGGCTTTCTGGTGGTGGTTCAAACACCTTTGGCTCAGCTGGTGGGATGATAGGAGCGCGGTCCTGTTCCTCAAGAAGCTTGGCCTTGTTTATCCCGGGACCTGTCAATGGAAAAGTTTCAACTGCAAAGCTAAGACTGAGCCCATATGTTCTTATCATTCAGTCCTTAAGAATGATCTAAAGATTTCCATCTCCCGACTTCTGCACTTTTTGTTTTAAAACCTCCACAAATTTTCAACACACTGCAGACGTGTCAACTGATTCATTTCTAAGAGGATTAAACCATCTGACAATGAATATGCCACTGAGCTAACTGCACAATAACCTTTAGTGACCTCCTTTGACCATGCGCTGCCCTTTACACTTACCAACAAAGCTCAGCAGGACTGGAAGGAACATTAGACCATGGCTCGCTCCAAATATAACAATGCCAAGGTACATTCGGAAGTAGAATATCTCAAACAACTGAGACTTGGAGAAAGCCAGCACAAAGATACCACAGATCTTGGTGAACGTTATACCACTCAAAACCTGGAGACCAAAATGGGGGTCAAAGGTTAATGAGGTCAAATGGCATTGCAGGTAAACTGAGTTTGAATAGTGTCAGAAAAATAGCACTTTCAGTGGTGACAAAAGTATCAGTGACAACTTCCAGGTATGAGCGAGGTCAGAAGTTGTGAACTTTTAAAAAGGTCATATGTCGTCAGAAGTCACTAGAAAACTACCAGTAGATCAAAGGAAATTTTGATATCAACTTACTGAGCTTCCCATGTGAGTAAGTGCATCTTTGGCTCTCTCTCTCCGATTCTCCTTGGTGCTTATGGCGAAGGCACGAACAATGTGAGAACAGAACTCCACTGAAATACCCACAGACTGCAAAATTTTTAAAAGTGAGTAAGTCTCTTATGAGAGAACACAGAGAATGGCCTGGCAAATGAGTCTAACATTCCAGCAGAAAAATATATAAGCACTTCAGTTCAAACTTACGGATGAAACCTCCACACCACAAGGGTCTTGCAAATGCAATTTTATTCCTGGGAAATGGGATTAACTTACCATGATAAGATTGACCAATGAGACTGCATTCAAATCAATATTCCACAGCACCATCAAGCCCAACAAGTCGATGGTTATCATGGCAATTGTCAAGGCAACAATGAAGGCCGAGAAGAGGTCAAAACCAAGTAGCACAAACGTAATCACAAAGATGGCGCCAAGAACAATGCTCAGACTGATGGCTGAATCATGTGCCATGGTAATGTACTGCTCATAAAATACGTAGAAAACACTAGAAAGAGGTAAACGAAGAAAAATCAAGATTAATAACATCAGGTATATAACTTTCAATATTTCTACCGTACAAGATACAATATACACATATGAACTGGCATTAAGGTCATTAATGCATGTCCATATGCCCCAAGGTACTGTGAGCAAATGGAAAACAATCCTATTTCCATTGTCGTCTTGAACCCGCTTTTGGTCACTTACTGGCCTTGACATGAACATGCATGAGTGAAGGAATCATACTGGTCAATATGTGTTCTATAACACACCTCTGTCCAAAATGTCAATAAGAACAGAAACTTTTTGTGATTAAATTGGGTGTATTATCACACTGTCTGCACTAGTAAGCAGGAAGTCGTGGGTTTGAGTCCCACCCGAGTACGCTTGTGGTTTTTTCACAAGCCTTCAGGGGCAAACACTGAGTATACAGTGTGTTAATACACGTCGGACGGGGCAAAAATCTAAAATTAATCAACATCTCCCCGGTGTAAATCCATCTTTGAAAATAAACTTTTTTCAATGAAATGTATTAACTCCACAAGTCAATGATTAAAGGAATTCTTTCCGTTTTCCTAGACTCAGTTACTGAGTTGCAGTTTACTGTTCTCATCAAGTGAGGGTGCTTTAACCAGTCGAAGTATAAGGCCTGAGTGGGCTATACTCCAGAATTCAAGGAAATATGCAAACACGAAGTCTTGGCATGCAAGCCAGTTCACATTGATGCAAATTTCATGCCCTAGTCTATTTTAATGAACATCACGTGACCATGTTTCAGCCAATCAGGATACAGAACCAACAAGAGGTGTTTTTTGAGGGCAATATTCAATGGTTTAATACTCTCACCTGTAAGGGTAAACATCAAATTTAGGATCAGTATCAGGGCCATTCATCATTTTGGTGATATTTGCAGCTGCCTGTCTTGAATGGATTAGAGCATTGGTGAAATCATCAGAATTTCGCAGAACAGTGTGGTAGCTCTGGAAGTAAGATGCTGTGCAATAACAAGAAGACACAAGCAGCTGGTGAGTTACATGGAGCTAGAGAATCAGCAGTGGGCAGTATCTGGTTTGTGTATCAATGGAGTAATCGCTATCCTTTTGGTTGGGTATACTGAATCCACACCCAGATTTGGGCAAATATGGCATGGGATGCACTAAGCAGGGTATTATGTCATCTTGTCTCTCATTACGTAGGTCTTGCATGTACAACGTAGGTTAAAATGTCATCAAGAGTTTAAGTAATCATGAAAATCAAAAACAACAATGGTGTGCTGACAAACACAAATGACCCACCGAGCCCAGGCCTAAAGCTATAACTTTGATTTGGAATCACAAACAAGAATAGTCTTAATTGTTTACCCATTATGACCTTTACGTTTGACCTTTCAGGCTGAAACGCAATACGTTTGATGAGATTACACACACATACAGACAGGACAAGGCAGAAACAGTATGCCCCTCTGACTTCAAAAACAATGAACACATGCAGATAATGCTGAACTCCCTCATACTTGACAGGTTGACATTTGTTTTATAGATTCACAACCTGACTTAATCAGTTCAGAGAGCAGTGAAGATATTTGCATAAACAAACCAACATTGAAAGAAACTGATGCAAAATTGTCTTGATCAATGAAAGAGACAAGTTAATGTAGCTTTACCTTTTACTTGTTTCTTGGTTTTATCTGTGAACTTCACACCTGATCCATATGCTGCATGTCCTCTACAAAATTTAAACAAACCAAAACCATTCAGCAAATTCAGGGTAGATCCAAAGACCGAAACATAAACATCAATTCATCAAATTCAGAGCAGGTCCAAAACACATGAATCATTGTTTATAACTCCTAAATATTTGGCTCTGAAATTCATTTCCCTTTTTATTTCTGCATACATCTAAGTATACAAGGTAATTTAGTTAGGACAGTCTTTCACACATACCCCTTGCTACATTTAAATCCAGGATCATCTTCAAGGAAAAATGGAAGGAACTTTTCAAATTCCTCAGAAGTTGGTCTTGCAAATTGGTGAGCTGAGCTGCGGCATGGCACACAGTTTTCTCTTGGCCCTAAAATGAAAAATTACAATAAAAACCATTACAACAGTCAACAAGGCAAGAAAAAGTGAACTCACAAAAAGATCCTTCAAACAAAGAATGGGCAAAGAACAAAGTTTCTATTTTGAATTCTTATGCTGATTCCCTACAAAGATAATGTGGTTATGTATGTAGCCTTTATTTGTACATGTACCTGTTGAAGGACAAAATGTTCCATTGTCTTTGTAGTACATGCAGCAGGGAAATCCAACTTTAGATGGGGCCAACCACGAGAAAAAATCATCGATCCAAGATGACGCAGGTACAGCAATATAGGAGCTGAAACAAACATCCAAAGAAAAATGTGTTAGAGACACAATCATCCAAAAATCATGTTCTAAAACTTGTGAGTTTACTAAAAGAACTTTTTATTATTCACAGAGCTTGCTTGGAAGAATTACTTGGAATTACTAATGATTTACTTGGAAGAACTATTAAAACCGAACAACCAAACAAAAATACACTCACGCATTTGATATTTGTGATTCAATGTAAATTTGTGATGTCAAGGAGTCTGCATTACAGCCAGAGCCTCCACAAATCTTATTCTGACTCTCCTCACTGGTATAATTAAAACCATCACGAATCACAAAATAAACAGGTGGACCACTGTTGAAATGTGAAGATAGGTTCCCAAAATATGCCAGCATGTAGGAATCCTGCAGAAATTAAAAGCAATTAATAGCATTGTTAATACAAGCTCAAAGGGACTTTCCAAAAAACTTTGTCTTATTGTGAACCTCTTGTTACACAAATTTTGATTATCCCAATCATAGCCTGGCATCATGCAGGAGTAAGTGTAGTATTACACAATGTACTGTACAGGTAATGTGTAAGTAATAGATATAAAATACAACATTTATCTTTTTACTAAATTTTAAAATTATATTAATCAATATGATTTGAATGAATAAAAAAAAGATTTGGAATAGGCCTACACGTTCAATGAAACAATCCGTGGAATGGACCGTCTGCCGAAATGAAGCAACTATAAAGAACAAAGTGTTTGTGTGCTGGCCGCACTGCCATGCAGCAAAACAGTACCTGCAACCAACATGCTTGTAAACTGGTACCCACTGCTGCACGTAATTAAAGGTTTATTCAACTTGAGAACCAGTGATTGCATGTAAGGACTGGATGTAAGAGGGCATTGGAATTGGGGACACTTATTTTTGTTTCTGTTTGTAATTGCAAGACGGGATCTATTCTGTAAAAACGTTCTTTAAATTTACGGAATGGTAACTCTTATTTTTAATTTCATGACTAACTGTGTGAAATGGTTGTGCAAGTTTATTTTGAAACAGGGATGTGGGACAGGGGTTAACTGAAGGAAGGGAACTTAGGAAGGCTTTAATTTCTAAAACATTCAAATTTTCTTTCAATTAACAGGGGTGGGGTGTTTGATGAGATAAGTTAAATATTGAAAGGAGTGCGATAGACATAAGACCACCTGTGAAAAATGCACCTGCTTATATTCCCAAAGAACAAGCTAAAGTGAATACAGCAGGCTCATTTGTACATTTGTTGTCCTTGGTATCTAACTTTTCTCCCATTTATGCTTTTGGAGTCAGGTTTATTCATTTTAAATATAAAACGCATCTTTTGGGCAAGACCCACTGTGATTGAAATTCCTTTGACAGCCTGACTCACAACACACAATGTTGTTTTGAATAAAGCCCCCCCCCCGGTACAAAGCACAGAGTTGCCAAGCCTTCAGCAGTAAAACTGCAGCGTGAATTGCCAAACAGATTAGCATTATTTGAGGATTACTGAAGGGCTCCTTCATGATTTACTGGGATTAAGCTTCTGAAGAGGTGTTTTCAGATTGGACTTGTTAGAAAAATGCTGTTGACAATGGGTTTGGACAATTCAAGTTAAGCAAAAGTGCTCATCTAGTCTTAGCACAACTCATATTAGGTAAGTTTTCTCTCACAGGAATGTAAACATTTTGAATGGGACTGAAAAAATATGCTTAAAGTAAGAGTGATTTCGTCTCAAGCGTACTCATGTTAAAAGTGTTCAGCTGTATCACTTATTTCAATCTCCCTGGGTTCCTTACACATTTTGACAGAGAAGAAACCTGTCAACTTACATGAGGCATCGACAGCTTCTGATCCAATCCAATCTTGACTTCAGTAATCAAAAACCCACTCATGAAAGCCATGAATGCAAAGACCATTACCTGGTAAGAAACACAAATTCATTCTGGGATTAGAATACTATAGTAAGTTAGAATTAGGTTACAATTTGGAAGGCAAGTGCTTTCTATCTTGAAGCCTCAAAACTGTGAGTTTGATAGTGATTATGAACACTGATGAAAACAAATCTTTCCCTGTGAATGGAACATTGTGCTACTGTCATTACCTCACGAGATCACAAGTTAAATCCTTTCAAGACAATGAGTGTGTGCTAGGTGACATTCAATATTAAAGCTACATGTATACATAAAATACACAGAACTGATATCATCACACTGTCAACACAAAGCTTAAGTTTCACTCTTGACTAAATCCAACTTGCCAGTGCTTCTACTAAAAAAACTAGAAACTATTACTTACCACAAGTACTCTGATGGGTGTGAACATGAGAAACGGTGCATAGAACTTCTCAAACAATTGGTGCAGCACCCCAGAATGTTTGTGAGATTTGCCAGCACTTTTTAGTTTCACACAACACAAGACATCCAGACGATTTTTCTGCAAGTCATAAAGATCTTCAAACATTAAAACTATTAAAAAAAATTCCTGATACAGTGTTTTTTGACAATTTCAAATGCTATCAAGCCAATATAAATTAATTGTGATTGAATCTACTCTATTAACACCTTCAAGACCCTTCAAAAATTCCAGATGGATTCTTCAAACTTGAACAGAGCTGGGTTAATGTTCAGGATATACATGTAGGAGCGACAGGGGAACACATACAATATATACAGGTGCTGTTCCTAAAATTTCTTTTCCAAGTCATGATGTCAACAGGTGTAACAGAATTTTCCGAACCATGACTGATTCCACTTAAAATGCTTCTTCCATTATGATCAAGGAAGTAATAATAAGCAAATGACACAGGTAATATACCCTGGCTGATTGCTGTTGGATCAACACTGGATCATTGCATTCGCAGTTTATTTAAGTAAAAACTCAACAGTAATGTAATACGCATCATGAGTTTAGAAAGATCCTTGAAAATGTCTACATCTTCTGAGTGACAACAAACTCACTTCTTCCCTTCCAGCATCTATGGATAGCAAAGCTACGAAGCAGGTGATCTGAAGGAGAAAATCAATCAGGACAGCTACCGCAGCGTAGAGAGAGAATGCTTTGACAGCAGGCATGATGGACAAGGCACCTGTCAAATAGAATGCACGACAGGTTATTGGCTCTGTGGATACTCCAAAACTCCAACTCCCTTTGAATTGGATAGACCAGCAGAATGTCATTCATCATAGATTCTTAGACAACAGATGAGGATGAATCTGCAGATAACATGACACAACAAACTATACATTTGTATATATCCAGGTACGTTTAGGCAGTCATTGTTAACGTCCAAAGCAGTCAGACAGCCCACATCTGACCAAGTCTCCACTTTACTGCAAGGGCAACTACTATGGAAATTCCAACTACCTTTAAAACATCATGGTTACATACCTAAAAAGAATGCAACGGACTCCGAGAGACTAGAAAGTAGCATACTTGGAGCCACCTCACCCAAGACACGCCCAATTTGCTGATATTTCTCCTCAGCAGGAAAACGTACATCCCTCTGTAATATACATATAGAATAAAATTTGTAAGCAAAATTGATCATCAAACAAGGATAAAATCCACAGAAAATTAAACTTTACTTTGGATCATGTGGCCCTTTTTTCGTCACATGACCAATCCGAATCACATGATCTAATACTTGCCTGATACTTTTGGACAAGGATGAAGATGTTATCAACACCCACAGCTAGGACAAGGAAGGGAACAACTTCCATAACAATGAGAGTAGCAGGAACTTGAAGGAAACCCAAAAGACCAATGGAAGAGGAGACTGATCCCAAGACAATTAATACTCCACACAGACCAAGAATAATCTTAGAGTCAATCTGAAAGAAAAATAAATTGTAAGAAATTATATGTACAATGAAAGAAAGTATACAAAATGCTGCTCTACCAACCAGTCAAAAATGCATGATTTCATACAAGTAGATTATAATCCACTGGAGGCAGCATTAACATACTGATCCAGTTAGCCCCACCCACTGGGGTGGCACCGACATACTGATCCAGTTAGCCCCACCCACTGGGGTGGCACCGACATACTGATCCAGTTAGCCCCACCCACTGGGGTGGCACCGACATACTGATCCAGTTAGCCCCACCCACTGCACATGTGGGCACTGAACACATGCTACACTCTCAACATGTATTTCTTCTCTTAAAATGTTGTTATTGCATGTTGCAGCCATGAGCGTGAACACATCAGAGTTTTACGCACAAGTGTCAAATGCATGTCGAACACACAACGAGCATATGTACGACAGCTATGACAGGCAGAATGTTCATCAGTGGGGCTTAATGGCTTGGTCTACACGTACATGTGCACAAGACATGCCTTTGTTTAGCTGGCACCAAATAAAATACAAGTTGATTAATTAGGCAGGTACATGCATTTAATTTGGCGAGTACTTACAAAGAGTCTCTTGATGTTGTATGGGAATTTGCCAAGAACGATAGCCACATATCCAAACATGAGGAGATAACTACCAGCAATTGTAAAAACCTCTGAAAAGCTCTCTCGCTCAATCTCATCCTCAATAGATCTCTGAATCATAGCAAAATATACAAAACAGAATGCTAAATCAACTGGAATACGACACATTAATTTCTTACTCTTTTCATTCTTGTTGCATGACATTTCAGCAAATTGTGTGAAAACTGCATAAATTTATTGGAGACAACTCAGATTGGTAAAATTACAATCTTTTTTAATTTCTTTTTGAAATTCTTCAATAAAGTGTAACAAATCACTCATACTGACCTCAGCTTGATAAGCTATGGTCAGATTTGGATTGCTATAATTCTTCATGAACTCCAAGAAAGCTTTCTCCCAGAGAAGAGCCGGTTCCAAGCGTGGATCACCAGTCTTATAGTTATTGACAGGAAAAGTCAGGGAAAGACTGGTGGCATTGTTGTAAAACAGGCCTGATTGGAGAGATGAAAACAAAGAAAACCAACACCTAAAATAGTTGCTGAATTGAAAAAGTGGTAAACACGAAACTAACTTGCGTTAAAATAACAAATGTTAGCACATACTGCACATGTGTATGTTAAATTCTGAAATCATGCAATATTTGGGTGTTCATGTTTAACATGTTTAATAGCAAACTACACTGTACAAACATGTATGTACATGTACATGTTCATACACCTGTATACCATACCTGTATACTGGATAATTTGGCAGATGATTGCGTATAATACCAGTACATTAATGAAATCACTGTGGACTACATTTCATATCATGATTTGGGGGGCAAATACCATAAGTAAAGATTAGCAATAAACTCAAAGTATAAAGCAATATAACCAGATACATAAACACCGTCCCCGGTACATGTACATGTATATAAACCTACAAGCAGTCATGGACATAATGGAATACAATGGAGTACACCTGTATGTACATGTACATGAGTACATGTACAATATACATGATGTACAATGTACAGATGGGTACCTGCATCTTACCCTTCTACAGGTACTTCGGGCTGAAGACACCAGTGTCATCAAAACCTTCAATACGTGTACATACAGGTATTTACATAATACTTTCTTTTCTTCTTGACAATAACTATGATAACTGAACCCTATGAACCTGTCTGGTACATGTATATGTACACCAGTAGACGTTGTACAGCACTTTTACTGAAATGAAACAGCTTTAACAGGAAGACACCACACAATGTAAACACAGCAAGAGTACTGGTATTTCTGACTCCTGAATTTCTGGAAATGCCAAATACTTAAATCCCCCCATGTCCATTATTTTGTGAAAATTAATACATGTGGTTGTTTTCAAGCATGTCAAATACTGGTACGGTATTTGCTGGTGCATGTGCAAGCACATAAAATTTAGGCATACATGTACTGTACATTGTGTCTGTGTCTCCTAATAATGAACTTGTGTATTCAGATATGGCATACAATATGGACCTTGGTCTGTGGATATGGTATCTGCAGGGATGCCAGTTGAATTCTTGTCTGCCTGACAATAAGGCCAGAGATATTTGTACAAGTACACATGCATGTACATGTTTATGTACCAGTATATATCTCAAGTAGGTCCTGGTAATGTACAATAACCCTTCTCATGACATTCCCTGTCAGAAATTAACTATGAACGATGTGTTTACTTGTCAAAAAAAATTGAAATCCATTTTAAAAATGTATTGAAAAAATCTATGTGACCTCTACATGCAATACAACTCATGAATAAAAAACAAACTAAGACATTTTTGACTTTTCACCTTCTCATTCTGTTTGCATTGCTATTAACCAATGTACTATTAAACCCAATGCAAACCCAAATACATACATGTATGTTTCTGACAGGTAAAATCTCTCTTATTTTAATCAAAGACCTTGCACTATGGTCTGTTTATCACAGATGAAAAAAGATAAGGCCAGTTTGAAAAAAGTATTAGTTTTATCCATACTTACAAAATCTGGTTTGTGTACTGCAAACAATCAATCCGCAGAGATTGAAGTTTTTATAGATGGATGGATTTGTGATTTCTACATCACAAATTCAATTTTACAAGCAACATCGTTAAAGGAAGTTACTTTTCATGATATTGCCAAAAGACACATTTTTATTTAAGCACTACTAACTGCACGTCAAAACTTCATGAAAAGTCCAAAACCACTAAGACAAACAACAACATTTTTTCTTTAACAGTTTAAAAGGCAGTTGTCCTTTCTAAGTCACATGCAGTTGGGACTCCAAGGGCCAAAGTCTCAGCTACACAATGTACATGTACCGGTATGTAAACTATAAATGCTGACTTTTGCAGCCACTTACATTTTACATGTACATGCAGATATTTATACTATTTGTCATCACCTACTGTACATGTACTGCTCAGGGCTGTGGACAACATTCTAACTATTAACAATTTGGCCCACAAGAGTCTCTACAGTAGAGTTCAAACTTAGAGACTTGGTGTCCCCTCAATACGGTCTAGGTGTCCCCTCAATATGATGTGGGTATCCCCCTCAATATACATGTAGTGTGGGTACCCTGTCAATATGTGGGTGTCTCCTCTGCATGGTAGGGCTCTACCATATTCCTCAACCCAAGGATTCCGGCTCAAACTTTAAATTTTAAGTTCCTTAAATCTATTCCATACTTTAAACTGGCATAAGTAGTATTAATGTCATGTATGCAGTGCATGTGCCTGACACATTCTAAACTTTCACTTTCACTTTATTATTGTGTTTAGTTGAGTTAACTTACCATCATAATTGCCCAGGACAGTCCAGGGGAAAATTGGACCTCCAAAAGTACCCAAACATGGGTAGTGTTGCTTAGTTCCATCATCAACAGAGGCTGGTGCCCTGAAAACAATAATAAAACGAGTAAGTAACCTCAGTACATGTATCAGAATGTTTAAGGTTTTTTTCTCAAAGGATGGGAGATTTATTTGAAAATTCACTGAGAGTTCACCTTACATGTACAAGAAGTAAACAGCTGAGAACATCAGCTTTAGCCTAACTTAATCGCAAGTGTCTCTTGTCCATCAAAATCTATGAACAAGTGGAAATGGATTTTGATAGATTTGGGATAGTCAGGGTTAAGGTTCTAAGCTCAAATAAGGATGCAGTTACATGTAACATAGCTGCTTATACATGTACGTGTCTGTTTATGCTCTCTTAGGGATTCAGTCATAAATACACAGATGATTCATGTGTATCCAGATTAAAAAACATCTATGTGAAGTAAAGGGCACTTACGCTGTACAGGCCAAGAAATGAGTGTGATAGTCAGCATACGTGAAGAACTCATCTTTGATGGAACTGTTGAGTTTCTCAAGATCATTTTGCCAGTAGTTAAGTACACTCAAAATTGTACAATTGGTGTTAGTTGGGGATTCCGGCTTAAAACAGATGTCTTCAAGTCCAACGGTGCGATTTTCTTTCTCATAGTATGCTGTGAGACTTGTAATTTGTTCCTGAAGATCCAGCACCTTTTAAAATCAAGAGAAATTTCACATTTTTTCTTGTTTCGGTACTTTTGTACATGTGGGAAAACCAAGCAACTGATGATTTTGTACAATTAAAAATGCATTTAATTGTAAAGGAATGAAATCAATGTGATCAAGTAAATGATAAGAGCTATGATTTAGATGGCCACTAAACTGAATCTTACTGGCCTTCAGCAGTAACAAACTTAACATACATGTACTATACTTGTCAGGGTGCAATTCAACATTTTATTACACCAACAAACTCCTCAACCCACATGGTTAACTTAATCCTTGACTATTTGTACCTCTATGCAATTTTTATGCTCTTGGAAACAAAATACTTTTGAACTCTGTTTCCATGTGAGGAAAAACAAGTAAAACAAATATATGTTTGTGGCCAACTGCTTCAACAGTGGACACCTTGTATATGCATATATGTCAACCAACCTGTATAAGAACATCCTTGTTTAATACTGGGCCATAGGAAAGATTGGCCTTTCCTAGTCCATATGGTAGGAAATATGTCACATTGTAGCTGGGAGCTGTAATGATGACTTGCTCTGTGCGATAAAATGGTCCAAAGTTTTCATCAAAGTAGCTCTTCTCCTCACGTGAGCGGCTTTCTGGAGGAGACCACAGCTCAACAGGATCTGTTGTTACTTTCAAGAAGGCAATGCCTGAGCTCAACCCACCAACTACCAGGAGACCCAATAAAATCACAGGGACTGGGTAACGAGCACAAATAGTGCCCCACCACTGGAAAACAGCAGACAACTTTCGGTGAAAAGTGGCACCAACTCTTTCCCTACAGCCGACATCTTTTTCAGAGACTTGATGTTGACTAACGGCAGATACTTCGCCATTGATTCTGAGTTCATTGTAATGAGTAACATGTCTTCGTCTCTGAATGAGCCATGTGATTATCACAAACAAGATGAAGATGACAACAAAGACACCATAGGAGCAGATGAGGATGAATAGGATGCCATCCATGCCAAAGATTGTCAACGGGGGGTTATTTATAGTTGTTGGGGGAATCGGTGGACAGGATGGGATGCAATCCTGACAACTACAGGGTTCAGAGTACTCATCAACTTTCTTATTACATGGATAAACAGAAGTGTTAAATGCTTCCATTGGGAGGGGAGCAGATTTGTTACCTCCATCAATTATGAAATTGATGGTAAATGGTGTCTGTCCATTGTCGGTACTACCCATGAAGTCCAACAGTTTTTGGGGGGTGCAGGTACTTGCTGACTGACCACAAAGGAGTGAAAAGATCTTTGAATTTGAACTTGGAAAATTGACATTTTCACAACTATTATACATGCCATCTACAAAGTCGTCTTGAACATGGTAATCAATACTGAGAATGCTATCATTAGTTTTGTAGGTGAGCTTGTTGTCTTCCAAGCCTGCTTGAACTTCTTCATCTAGAGGAGATTCAACAGCCTCCAACTCATTGATGCCATTAGCTTCCTGTTTAAACACACCAGGTTTGATGCTAGTGACATCTACAAACAGGCTGTTACTGGGGTCACAGGTCATGGCGCAGTATAGATTCAGAAAGTTGCGTTGACATGAAGGGCAACGGCTCATCATTTGCCTTGCCTGACTGGTCTGGGTCAGAAATGTTTTCAACTGATTCAAATCACAGCAGGCCAAGGTCTTATTTTTGACAAGATGAGGACACAGTTCATGGAGAATTTCAAGAGCTTCTGGATCATCAAGCTCAGGAGCAGGTTTGTTGTAGAAGCAATTCAACTTATGCTCAGGGATATCACGATATCCACACTGCCCGTACATGATGCAATAGCCCTTCTTGTGTATAGCATCTGAAGCCTGCACAGAGAAAGGGGGGGAAAGCAGAAACTAAATTGAAAGGAAATACTTTGACTAAAGAGGAAACTTGGAGAAACCCTTTGTATGACTGTTGGCATTGGCACAGCCATCATACACATGCCACACATCAGCACTCGGCAATCAATTCATGTGTAAGTAAGCGTACATGTATGTACATGTAGGTGGTGCCAGATTAAATCCGCATGTTTGCAGATCATCACAATGGATACCTACATGTATTGGGTTGATGCTTTGTACATGTATGCATGACATGACGTGTCATGTCAAGCCAAATTAGGTTCTTCATTTTTGTTTTTCTATACAGCTTGTGTGATGCCTTTGGTTTTTACAGGCATAAAACAGCGAGGATCCAGAGAGGTTTAGGGGTCAAACCCACCCCACCCATTGCCATATTATTTTAAGGGGCCTATATGTGTACACCTCAAGATTGGAAGACATCCTAAAAATAAAACATACATACAGGTACACAATAGGGGCTTATTTTCCATGTATGGTTAGGACAAAATGAAAAGATTAAATGGATTCACCAATGGTCTTATGTACACGTACAGTTAGTACATGTAAGTAACTCCCGGTACATGTGAATACAAATTTCCACACCCCCCTTCCCCCCGGTGAAGGCACGGGGACAAACAGGTACAAAATGTACATGTACAGTACATGTATGACAAAGAGAATGAAGGCCGAGAGTTGAAAGTGGGAACACCCCTCTTTTAGCTTCCAAAAGTCCCCTTCTTTTAAAAAAAAAAAATTCCCCAATCCCAAGCACTCACCCCACCACCCAAACATCCCATAATGCATGTATATTTACATTATATTTCAATTAATATTAGGATACAAAAAAGGCCCAAAAGGTCAAAATTTTCTATTGCAGAACCAGTTACAATGAGACTTTACTGTTTCATGTATGATGCCAGTGCAAAGCTGGCGATTAGAAAAAGGTAGGCAGGTAAGTGAAGACTAGTTTGATAGGCAGGTACCATTACCATGGTTGCATGTAAGACTAGTTTTTAAAATGTTACATCACTATGGACAATTTTTTACTGCAGTGGTAAATTATAAGCCATCAGAAAGCGATAACTTGCCTAAAAATGTCCAATCTAAGATGAAAATACTGAAGTGGTCACTTGAAATATAAATTATTCTGACCAGTATGAGTTTCTAGCAATTTGTGCACAGGGTGTCAAGTGATGTAACATAACTTACGTTACAACATTAGGCCATATGAAAAAAATAATTAGTTTAGCATCAGCCCCCACCTAAAAAAATCTTGCAGCGTGTTTTTTTCTTTAAAAGTTGTCTTTTCCGATGTCCTTAGCTGTCCCCCGTAGTTTCTACAAACCTCGTGCATGCAAAACAACATACAGCCTGAGTACATACACATGTTATGTGCACTTCTGTGCACGAGTCTGAAGTGAACATGGCGCTTTCGTTCCGTGAATGTGGCAGTCCAGATCAGCATGCATACCAAAGTATTAAAAAAAAAAAGCAAATACAACTGATGCTAAACTATCTCTTTTTTCAAGTGGCCTTACTTACTGTACGATTCCAGCGCGAAGCTGGCTATCAGACATGTCAGAAAAATTGTGACAAGTTTAACATATAATAATGAAATATATAGCCTACATGTATGTAACAACTGTTTTGCACCATTCCCAAATGCTATACATCTCATCATGTTGTTATTGTTGAAGCTAAACTGCAGCGGCAAAAGAGGGTGCCAGCAAATCAAGAGGGAAAATAAAACGAACAAGGCAAAAATTAAAAATGAGTCCGGGCTATGGTAAATCTAACAAACTGCAAAGTACATGTAAATGTACCAATATACAGTATCAGTAAGTTCATTTCTTGCAGTGAGTCTTCAACAGTTTTGCAGCTAGCTGGCCCTATCATCAATGTAGTCTACTATCTTAGCCCCACTAGGATCACTCCCGATCCATCCTTACTCAC